CTGAAAGCCGAACGCATCCCGGATTACCAGACAGAGTTTGAGATGTACACGATTTTCCTCAGTCTGAAGGTTTTCTTGCCTTTGGTGCTACAGCCCTTCGCTATCTTTTTGAGAACTGATAACAGTGCCTCGCTTCACGCATGTCTTACTTACAAAGCCAAGTCTCCCCTTCTCACACATCTCACTGCTGAGTTCATGCTAGAGTTCCTATGCAACGGGTGGATCCCACCTCGTGGCGAACACGTGGCTGGAGTGCTTAATGACACAGCTGATTCAGGCCGGGTTGGCGCAGGTGAAACGGGTGGAGGCGCCTCCACGCGACATCCGCCAGACTGAAGACAGCTTGTGAAAGAAAGGGGAGTTTACTTGCGACACTGCGTCTCATGTTGGCCAGGAAATCCAAGTAAAAGTAAGTAAAATCAACTGCAGTCGTTTGCTTTGGTGTTGGTTCTCGTGCACGGTCGGTCGTGTTTCGTAAGTAAAACCAACTGCAGTTGTTTGCTTTGGTGAAGTGTCTCGTTCACGGACGTGTTTGAGCTTCGGGGTCCTTCGCAGTCACTTGCCAGTCGGATCTTTTGGTTGAGCCTAATGTAGTTGCACACTTCACTCGTCTAGTTCGAGTTGTGTCCGAGTGACTAGGTTGATCGAGTGTGACTTAAGCTTGACTGACTGATTTGATTTGAACTGAACCGCATGAACGGAGCGAACGGGCTCAAAGGTCGAGCTCGAACAGTCATGGGCTCGATGTTTTCGCGCGGTGCTGACCGCGGGAGAGGAACGTGGTTCCCACCTTTTGCTTTGAGCATATACCTCCGAACGGGGTGGCTCTCATTGCCAATTCGACTGGAGGTGTCCAGACTGTGACCCTGAATGGTGGAAGTGGGGAACAGCTGCTGGGAGCAGCGTTGAGGCAGGTGAGCTCCGAGGTTGGAAGCCATCCAAACCCGACTACTCCTGAAGAAGCCCTGGTGCCGCTGGAAGAGGTGGCATCTGGCTCAGCCGACCCGGTTGTCCTCGCCAGCTCAAATCAGCCTCAACGAAGGCGACCTGGGGCACCTGTCACTCCCAGTGCCACACCGGCTCAAAAGCGTTGGAGAGGAAGTGCTTCTGATGCCATCGCCATCGCCTGCTCTGACAAAGCCACGCAAACCGCCATGGAGACGTTCCAGGAGGTGGTGTACGCACCCGGCACCACCCGCACCAAGAGTGCACTGTTTAAGCTGTGGACGGACATCCTGAATGCCCGGGGTCTCGCACCACTGCCAGTTGACCCCAACAAACTCAACATCGTGAGCTCGGTGCTGAGGGCTGCGGGCTTCAGATCGGCCCCGACATACCTCTATGAGGCCAAGGACTGCCACGTGAGAGCGGGCTACGCTTGGTCAGACGCGCTCGACGTGGCACTACGTGATTGTCGGAGGGGCCTCACCAGGGGTATGGGCCCGCCCTGCAGGGCCTTGGAGATCGAGCCCACATTATGGGCACGTTTGCCGGAGCATCCGGAGACTTCGTGTGGGACTTGGCCGGCCGTGAGAAAGTATGTGTGGATCTTAGGCACGTGCTTCTGCCTCCGCGAGGTGGAGTTGGGCTGCATCATGTTCAATGAAAATGGAACTCCCTGGTCGCAATAAACCTGACGGTCTCCAAGACGGATCAGTACGCTCGTGGATGCAAGCGCACGCTCGGCTGCCGCTGCAACACCAGGGAGTCGGTCGTGTGCCCGTACTGCATTGCTTGCGTGCTGGTGAACCATCAAGAAGTGATGTTGGGAGTGGAGCACGGCTCCGAGGATGCGGCCAACTATCCCCTGGTGGGTCAGGAAGGTGATCCAGCGAAGGTCGTATCGAAAGAAGCCATGCTAGCGGCTCTGCGAGAGGATGCTGGCTACCTCAAGGACAAAGGCTGGCTCAAGGAATCGGATGATCTGAGCTTGGTCTCTGGCCATAGTCTCAGAAGGTCAGGTGTGAAGCATTGGGTGAAGGCGGGAGTGCCCGAAGAGCTCATCATGTTCCTCACGAGGCACTCCAGCTCGGCGGTTAAGTCCTACATCGAGGACGCCAGGGAATCCTGGGTGGTGGTGCGCAACCAGATCGCCGAGCAGTTGAGAGCTTGCAAGATCGCATCGCCGGGCTGGCGGCCAAGGTGAACACGCTTGAGGAATTGATGGCAAAGATCTCCGAAGAGCAGAAAGCGCAGAAGGCCATGGCACACTTCGATGAGGACTCGGTGAAGTCCTTGCTTCGTGCCTACCTGAGGCCACCGGTGGTGACGAATCTTGCCACCCTGAAGTTTCATGCCGCTTCAGTGTCAAACAGCCAGTTGGCGCCGAGCCGCTGGCAAACAGCGTGCGGTTGGTGCTATGTGGCAGCAGGACAACTGGTGAAGCCAGCGGCGTCCTCTGAAGAGATTCCGCCGGAAGCCACTCCATGCACTAAGTGCATGAACTACCTGCCGTACTGGGCAGCAGTATAGGACACCCACCGAATACGGCTCGGAAGCAAAAGGAGAGTTCTTGTGCGTCCTAAGTGTTTGAACAAGTCTGTTTTTAAAGAAACAAGGTAGGCATTTAAGTTGGCCTCGACAAGTTCAGCGTGCTCGAAACGTTCAGCCAGTAAGTTTGGCCTAGAGCACGTTATCGAGGCCAGAAGGACGCGCTTCCGACGAACTTTCGATAAACGGGAGCCCAGCGGCGAGTCGAGTCGAAGTGTTGTAAAGGCTTAAAGGTTTGGAGGCGGGTAGTAGGGGAGTGCAGACGACTGTGCGGTTTTTTATGGAGCAAAGATTTTGCGTAAGAAAAAGAATAGCACTAAGAGTCTGCTTGGTGGTTTGTTGAATCGTTCGTTTCGATGCTCGTTGAACTCGTGCCATTTTGGCCCCAAGAGTCACACGAAAATGTATCTCCCTCCACCAACCCCTGACGCCTCCAGAGCGATAAGTTCTTCATGATAAGTTCGAGAGTTCTTGTGCGTCCTAAGTGTTTGAACAAGTCTGTTTTTAAAGAAACAAGGTAGGCATTTTAGTTGGCCTCGACAAGTTCAGCGTGCTCGAAACGTGCAGCCAAAAAGTTTGGCCTAGAGCACGTTATCGAGGCCAGAAGGACGCGCTTCCGACGAACTTTCGATAAACGGGAGCCCAGCGGCGAGTCGAGTCGAAGTGTTGTAAAGGCTTAAAGGTTTGGAGGCGGGTAGTAGGGGAGTGCAGACGACTGTGCGGTTTTTTGTAGGAAAGAGGCTTACCCGGCTTACCCATAATTTGTGTTCTAGGGTGGACAGTGGTTCTGAGGAAACGGAGGGTTCGGGAATCTGACGTACATTCAATTTTGACCCATTTGATGCCTGGTACAGCAGTTTGACTTTGTGTATTGTAAGGAGGAAGAGGCTGATTTCATGAAGGCATTCGAGGGATGTCACACGCTCAAACATGGAAAACACATCAACAGCACCATCGGATCAATTGGTCCCTGGTCTCAGAAGAGAAAAACGAAGAAACGACACGACACATCGCCGTTTCACCTAGGGAGGTGGGTTCCTCCTACTTTCAACGCCCCGAGCTGGAGCCACCGCAATTTGGAAAACGTAGCAATTGTCAGTTGAGCATGAGGACGAACGGGCGCCGCCTCGTATTGGAACGCGGATGTTGGATTGTTTCAGAACGAGGACGTAGGATCAATTGGGAACTCGCACGCGCATGGTGTTCTACTTTGCTTCTTTGTGCGATTCTCCTTGGCGGATCAAATGTGAAAGAACGGAAGGCTTGACAGGTTTCCACTGCTTTCTGCGCTTGTTTTCTGATGTTTTCCAGCCAACGATAGCCAAAGCCTTTCCAGCCGCGTGCACGCTTACTGTAATCTGTTGTTCCAAATAGATCCACCCTCTCTTTCCAAGCCACACTGTGTTACTTGACCCAGCATTGTTCTCCTATGGTGCGAATGCCGCAGGTCTGTCGCCAACCCCACCCTCCCCCCACCAGCCCCTACAGTAGAGAGTCGTTCCATAGTTGAATCCTGGCAATACGGCCGTATCATAGGTAAACCGCCCTTGTTTCTTCTACACACCGGCTTTTCTTTTTGCATTAAAGGCTGTATCAAAGCTTTACAGAAGGCAAATTTGCCCAAACAAGGGCGCAAGTCGAGTTTTCTGTTTTTTTTGCGACCGCATAAGGCAATAACAGTCGAATTTTCACCTTCTACCACAGATTGTGTAAAGCAACGGCGGCGGCGGAACTTGGAATGTGAGCAAGCAGTCCTGGCAAAACTCGTGCACTATGTCCTTTTTGGATGGGGAATTTGTTTTGTCACCTGCTCGTTTCGAGCCAGCTTTAGAAAACATTTGCAGCACGTTGTTTGTATGTTCGGGAAATGAACACGCGCACTGCTGGACATGTGCCCCCCCGCACCCACACCCACACGTAGACCAAACTTTGGTCAAATGATCAGATTTTAACCTGATTATAGGCTTTTGGTGTTGGTGAAACATGGAAACAAAGCTGCAAGGGCTTTGCCATATCATCAGTCCCACCAAGTCGACAAAATTTGTTGGACTTACCAATGATTCGCCCCTCTGTTTTTTTTGGGCGCGCAAACCCAGCACATCTCGAGAACCGACTTGGGAACACAGAAACAACGCAATTGGTTTACAAACGGCATTTTCCTTGGTCCGTTTTTTGTTCCTGATATAGAAACGAGCGTTCGGAGATCGGGTCGAGCAGACGAGTACCAAATTCAGTGGCGCGTAGGCCGCGTATGTGAATACCGTTGAGTTTGGTGATTCTCTTCTGATCTGGGGGGTTTTACCCATGTTTGCTGGGGATTTATTTATGTTTCGCCCGTCTGACTCTGCCAAGAGCATTGTTTGCGCATGATTGTCTCTGTCCTGTGAACTGGCCTTTCGATCACATCAAAATGATCTCTAAAGGCAGCGAGACACCAAAAAGATGGTCACGCACAGCACCAGGGACCATCGTATCACAATTCAAAATTTGTAAATGAAAATTCAACCAAAGACGATTCGTTCAAAACCACCGGAAAAAAGAGAACACACACACACACAAAAAACACAAACAAAACCGAGTCTTCTTTGTTTTCGCATTGCGTAGCAGAACTTCAGGCCTGGGGGATCCAGGCCCGATTCGAGGGATTTAGACCATAGCATCTATAACTATTGTTTTACGCGTGATACGATTCTTTGGTGGTAACCAAATCGATCAACCAAAACGTTTCTGCAAGCCACGGTTGGGCGGTGGGAATGGTGCAAGTTCCAAAATGAGTCTGTTTTGGAAAAGGATGCAATTTGTGTTTCTAAACGATCCGTCTCACGTGTTCAATGAGCCGCGTGCCCTCAGAGATTCTGGTGCTATTTTCCAGGCTGAGATTGATAGCACTCCGCCAGGTTTACTTTCCAGCCAGGCTGCGGCTCAAAGAGCGTGACTCCAAAAACCATCCACAGCAGGGGGCACCGGCGCCCTCGGTTCACCGCGAAATCCACCGGCACGGCTTTTTCGCTGAAAACAAATCCGAGAAGATTCCGATTGGAACCGGCAAATCGAATATAGATGGAATGTGACCAGGTGTTCGTTTTTTTGGGTTGCATTTTGATACGTCGTGATACTCGGTCTTTGGCCTTGCAAACATGGTTTTCGGACGTCTCTTTACATCATGGGCTAGCACAGGAGCCCAGCTTCCAAGAGGTTTCGCTGAAGAAGGCAACCTGTGCGGTCGACATTTGTGAAGAATGGGACGAGTTCGGAGGATTTCTTCAGATCAACAGATGTAAATCCAGTGCAAATGCATTAAAGTTATATAGATGCCTCAATGCCAAACTGCAAGAACACATCCAAACCACTGCATGAAAACGCCTTCAAAGGTTTCCAATGGTTCAAACATAGACAAATACAACACACAGGGTCGCGTTGAAGGGCCTTACTTACTTTCCTTTCATGTTTCATGTTTTTGTGGGAACATGGGCCCATCGAGCTCTGATTCAATCACATGACGTGTTTCCATGCTGCTGTCAATGTTATGCGCATGATATCCACATTGCTTTAGTAGGTGCCCAGAATCAATCGAGGCAACACTTTTGGACCGGCCCGGACAACCCTAGCATTTGGTGCATGATGGGATACCCATCAGCTCAAACCACTGGCGCTTTGAAACAAGCGCACGAAGACCCAACCTCCCCCGATCGTTGTTTGCATCCAACACCATCGTAAGGACATCAAACCAGGACCTGACCATTTAGGCCCACCACACGCTTGTACCCAATTGAAGCATAATAAAATATGTTCATGTATTATATATATATATTTATTATATGCGCAGTAAGTGTGTCTCTGTGCTTGCCTCAAGATGTTGACGGGTCTTGTCTCATGCAAGGCACGCAAAAGTAGCATCTCTGCACTCGCTCCATAGTCGATTTCATGTACCTGTGGTTTTCGTTCTTTTGTGTTGCTTTTGTTTCCCCCCCAAAGGTTGCTGCTTTTGAGCTCCCCTTGTGCAGGTGCAAACTGCATTACAGCTTCTCCGGGCTGAGCCAGAACCCAGCGAGGGGTGCTCCTCCGCTGGTCCTGGAGATGCTTGGTGGGAAGACTGTTGCAGCAACGGAGGAGGCGGTGAAACATCTCTTCATATGAGGTCTCGCCACCGTGAGAATTGGAAGAACCCAATCTGCTTGCAGACAGCAGCCAAAAGGAAGAACACATGATTTTCCAAAATGAATAAATTAGGAAATAATTCAAAAAAGAAAATCCGAACTCTTTCTGAAATTCTGGAGTCTCCCAACAGATGAGACCAAGCGGATCGGTTTTGTGATAAGCTCAGCATCCTGTGAATGTGGCTTCATGTTTGGGAAGATGTGGATTCATCGGATTTGTTATTTTTGTTTGAACATGTTTGAACTACGGGTTGCGTCAAACCCAGTAGACTGAAATCGAATCTGGGCATTTGCAGCTGCCCTGTTCCACAGACCCCTACACGGTCACGTAGACTCACAGCTGGAAATGTTTTGGTTTTGGAGTTGAATGAGTTGCATCAGTTTCTACTTTTAACCCTTATTGGCAGGTGATACATGTTTGATCACAGTTGGTAGGAATCTGTTTCCGTCGCCAAGGAGGCACTGAGCGCGTCCACATGCTGTTCGTGTTGTTGGCAGAAATCCTGCACAACTGTAAATCTTGTCGGGTTTTAGCAAAGAGTTCTCCTAGGTCGTTTGGCATTTATTTGAGATGTTCTATCTCTACTTGGGCATGGTTCTCCAAATTAGACTATTATATATCTTAGCTGCCAGAAAGGCACTGCCAATGGAACTCTCGAGTCACCTAACCTGAAAATCACGGACCCGGCGAGTCACCACCCAGGAGAACCTCTGGACGGCCGCCAGCGACGGCGATCAAGCGCGGGTGGAGGCGCTCATGGCGCTGGAGGGCTTCCAGCCTAGCTCGCAGGAGCCGCGCCGTTCGCCGCCGGACGAACCGCCGTGGAGCGTCAGATCCGCAGGTCGGGTCCCAGGCCGCGTAGTGGTCGGCTGGCCGCGTGCCGGTCAGCGGGTTTCGGCTGGGCCTCTCTGCGGGTCGCTGCGCGTCCTTGTTTCGGGAGCCTGTGGTCTCTGCGGGTCGCCAGGATGAGAACGGCTACACGCCTGTCATGGCAGCCGCCTCCTGGGGCCATGCCACTTGGCACCCAAGAGACCGGGCCTCAGTAGCTATCGGTAGAAATTTGAGGATTTGGTGATTCTGGTGGGGCTTCATCCTCATTAGCCTTCACTGTCCAAGACTTTCTTGTATAGCTAAAGCATGCTGCATGCTAAAGCAGTTTTCAGGAGGCTCCTATATCATGTTCCGATGCACACCATCCCCACCCGCCGCATTCTCGCTTGAGCAGGGTTTCCATCAACCCTGATGTCACTGATGTCTGACAGTGATGTGATTGATTGAAACAGTTGGGGCAGATCATGTGGTGGTATGTAGCTCATGGCATGTTGCCAATTGGCAACCACGGCAGCAAACCCACCCGAATGATACCACATGCATTTGTTTCAGAGTCCTGCACATGCCATGGGTATGTTTGGCCTATCGGATAGCATCCATGGAAACTGGCCAATAATTTGTGAATGCTTGGCACATAGTCTGATGATGCCCGCGTGCTTGCATTGGCCTGTCGTGGACATCCACACGTACAGCAGAAGATGCTGTGGGGTTCAAGCATCATCAAGCATCTATATAATTTGGATGCACAAGTGATCTACTTCAACATCCAAAGCTAAAGCATGGGGGCATGAACCTAAATGCCAGGCAATTGTATGACATCCCCCGCTTTAAGGGTTCAAACTGGTTAGAGCATGCCGGGCCACAGGACATGGGTCATGCCCGCCATTGGTTTCGGATTGGGATGAAGAAGTTTGCCGATGTGTGTCAACAGGAGACCCCAGTATAATGATATCTATTGAACATCTATTGAACAGTATCCAACAGTATATGTGTACACACGTATTTGCTGTATATATATATATACATAACACTATCGTCCCATGATTGCCATATGCTGCAGGTGATGATTTCAGGAGACCCAAGGGCTTCCATATTCCGCTCACCTCGGAAGCAGCGACAACCCCATTTTGTGAACGCAGCACCGGTTGAGATCAACGCTACACTGATTGCAAAGGTCACATGAATCACACACATGAAGATGCATGCAAACAGATGCACACATGCATCAACGTAGGGGGCAGGCATGCATCCATCCTATCCAACCAACCAGTCATGAGATGTCTAGATGGCCCATGGGTGTCCACGCACATGTGCAAGCCTTCTTGAAACTTCTATTGACCCATGGATCCCACTGTGTTTGTGGCGGCGTCAGGCTGAGCTCCTGTCGCTGCTTCTGTCACGGGAGCCTCACAGTGCCAACGTCGCTGACACCGATGGCGATGCTCCATTGCACCATGTGGCGCAAGCCTGTGAACTGGAGGCGTGAAGATGGGCTGTTGAGGCTGTTGCGGTGAGACATGATGGTGTTGGTCAGAGAGTGATGAGTGATGGCACTGACACTGTGACAGGTGGGAGAGGTGTTCACCACCCGTCACCCAGGCTGACCAGCTCCGGCCGGTGCTCCGGCTCTTGTTGGAGGCCAAGGCGGACGTCAACGCCAGGAGTGGGGGGAAGAGCGGGTTGAGAGGCAGTTTGTAGAGGAAAATAAGGGCTGAGGGTGTTGAGTCTTGAAGCTTTGAGGTCTTTTGATGGGTCTTTTTGGTCCCTTGGTGTTTCCTTGGAAGTTGCATGAAGTTGCAAGCATGTGCTAGCAGGTGGGTTGAGAAGTTGAAAAGGGTTTTAGACGTCACACGAGACGTGACAGAGCCTTCAGGGGATTATAAAGGGAAAGAAAGAGGTTGAGATGTGGAGGTTGAGATTGGCTGGTCTGCTTCATTTTGTTTGGGGGTTTTGTGGAAGGTGCACTCTGAGGGCACCTGCCCTTTTGAAGCAGGAGCTCCCATTCAATCTGGGTATTTCTCGACTTTCACAAGTGGCTCAACCACATAGAGAGATGAGCTGCGTTTTCGATGCACTCTTTTAGAATCAACAGTATGTCGGAGCAAGCGGCTTGTTCTTGGGTGTTTCAGCACGACTAGTAGTGATGAGAAGCTGAAACCGTCCGAAGTCACACCTTGGGCATCGTTCTTCTTTGTCCCTTTGGTTCGCCTCCACTCCGAATAGCGATGGCCTCCAACCGAATAGCGATGGCCTTGCCAGGAATGCAGAGGGAAAGAGCTGCTTGGACTGTTGTGCCATGGGCGCCATGGTTGAGGGCGAGGAGCAACGGAGACAGAGAGGGGAGGTTCCGAGGTCAGTGGACATCCCAAAGGAGCTATGAAGACAAGTACATAGCTGAACTGCTGGCCCGAGTCGAAGGTGAAAGGTCACAGATATGTTGATCTATTCCATGATGTGTCGGATAAACTGTCGAGCTTGGAGACCGAAGTTCGGACCGTGTTGCGTTAGGCAGCAACATGACTTTTCTCTAGGGCATGTGCTTGACAAATCAAGGTGTGATTGTAAAGTTGGCTTTCCTTTCAAGCCTAAAGCTACCTTGATGTCAGATATCAAATCCCACCTGCAGGGTTCTATCTTTTTTTTGAAGAAAAACAATATCCACAACTATGAGTCTACGAGTATGTTCTTTCCATGCGAAGGTACTTCGATTCAAGAACACTGTTGGTAAGCAAAACTATCAGGTGCGCATTCTCATGGTAGTCCTTGGTTAGAAGCATGTATGTTTGTGGCCAGGAGGAACAAGAGCCTCAGATCAATTTGGCCTTCCTGAAGGTGATGGAGGAGTTTGGCTTCAAAGTCTGAGTGCTGGATGAACGACCAGGGACCAAAGTCTTCCCGTTCGAAGGGACCAGCTCTCAGCAAGACATGCTGGGGCTACCATCGCCAAGCCACGTGAACGATGTCACCCACGAAGCGGCCAATTGACGAAGCAAACAAAAGCACTTCGCCGGCGAACTGTCCACGGCGGGGGTTGAGGGACACGCTAATGCTAACAGTGCAGTTTTGCGTCAGCAGTTTGCAAGAGCGTTGTGTCGTTGGGCTGTTTCTTCCTGCCTTTCAGAAGACACGGAACACCTGTTTTTGCCAGCAGCGTTTGTGTCTGAAAGGGAGTCCCAACAAACTCTGTCGATCCACAATCATCCATAATCCATGAACAAGAGGTTTGGGATGTCCTGTCATGTTACCCCAAGTGCCACGAGTACAACTTCGTACCTCTTTAGGGTCCCCAATTCCAGGCTGGTTGTTGTTTCTCAATCTCCAGCTGTGCATTGCCTGTGGGTCAAAGAGGAACAACATGGTCAAGGACACACACATGGAAACTGAGTGTCCTATTGACACGAAAGCTGCTTTCATACTGCCAGGGAGAGATGCTGATTACCCTCCGGCTCACTAACACGGAAGTGATCTCCTTGGCCTGCCGGGAAGACATTTTCCTCTACAAACCGGCTATAACCGGCTGGTGGCTGGTGTCCACTTCCATGTTAGTGAGTTGGAGTGTACGCCATGGGTCAGGAATCTTCCAATAACACTGGTCCAAGGTGCTCCACGCTCTCCACTCCAAAAAGCGCCGCCGCCGTTTGTTGCAAAGCCGAGCAGAAACATCATGGGTTCCGCATGGTTACGCACGTGGGGAAAACCCGCAGGATGACTGGCATCACTTTTGGCCAAAGAGGCATTTGATTCTGTAAAAAGATATCTGCCATAGACTAGAAGTCGAAATGACTAAGTCTTTGCATCTTCATCCCGCAAGGTCTGTGTAGCCATTGTTATCCATGTTTTTGGACTAAGTCTATTATGTTTGGCCGCAAGTGGCGTGGGACCTGTGCGAGCTTGGAGCCAACAAAATCACGCACTGAGTACATCAAATGGACCCAGATAGTTTGTTGTTGGTCAATTATTGACACAGATTGAAAAGAAGAAAGCACCTGCTATATATTCTCTTTCAGACATGGCAGAAGAAAGTGAAGGCTGTCTAGGACTAGGATCCGACAGCCTGCTTTTGGGCTTGAAATCAGAACCTCGAGCACTGTATCCGACCTCGTTTGCTCCGGACGCCATGAAGGTGGGCGGACCGGTCCAAGTCATGGGTCCTGAGGTCGCATGTCCATGCGCTACGACTCGGAAACATCGGAGAGTTCTTCCATGGTTTTTTTGGCAGTTTGTTCCATCGGACATGAAGAGCCCAACGTGTTGGCCTTCAGGCCTTGACCTGCGGTCCCCTGCCACATTTCGTCGAAGGGTCCTTGGGGTTTGGACCAGTTTTGGTTGCAGTTCTTCGTCCAGTTTGGTGGACACCCATCTTTTGCATGCAGATTTGAGGGAGGCAGCGCCGTTTCCCATGCTGGGGCGATCAGATTGAACCCCATGATCGCAACAAAAATACTTGTTTTTCTTGACACGGGTATTCCAAAGAGGAAGTTTTCCACATAGCTGGACGGCTTGTCTGTCTGTTTCTTCATTGAAGAACATGTACATCGTCCTGAACGGGCGTAGAAACAACGGGTTGTGGAGGATCCAATCATCTTCCAACGATCCAATTTCAGCTTCCATGTCATCCTCCCGGGTGTAATTGCCTTGCGAAATCGTTGGGTACATCAGTTGTGCCATGTGAGAAGCCACGCAGACCGATCCTGACGATCTTCGGATTCTTTGGATCGGTCTGCAGACCGATCCTGACGGCCTCAACCTTCCCACTCACTCGGCGCGGCACGGGCGCGCTTGCGAGGTGTTCTCTTCTCTCGGCTCCCAACCGATCCAACGGAACTCACCATCTATTTGGACACCCTCCTTGACTCCAGCCGAGGCAGACTCCAGCCGAGGCTCCCAGACGACTCCCTTCGGTTTTAAACCATGTTTTGGACGTCCGGTGACCAACTCTGTCCATTTGGCCAGACCAAACAGTTCTCCTGTCCTTCCCCCATGTGTTCGTTCTATCCTTCGCCTCAGGGGGTCAGCAATGAGGCCACAAACACGGACAAGATGCAAGCGTGACTGGGCAAGCAGGACATTTAGATGTGCATGAAACGAGACCCTGCATTTTTCGGGTGTTTGGGATTGTAGGAGTTGGGGGTAGCAATTGTGAGGCCTCAAGAAAACCTCCCTTTCATGGTCCTTCCAAAGCTTTTTAGACCTCCCAGTTCAATACTCTTGAGTTTCTCCACCTGCCTGGCTGTCGGTTTTCGGCGAGGGTGAGAGTATCCCCGTGCCTTTGGGATCAGAAGACCGTGCCTCTGCCGGGATCAGAAGATAACCCCTCGGACGAGCGATCAGATCGATAGAAGCAGATGGCTTTAGGCTTTAGATCTTAAAGGCCACTGAACTTGTGAGGGTTTTAGGGCTTCCTATTCGGACCATCCGCTCAGATCCGTGTTGGCTTTTCTCTTGTTCTAGTCTGCGAGTCGACTCAGGCACCAAATGAAAGTCAAGCCCAGCGACGCCTTGAGACATGAGGAGCTGAACACGCGCGTTGTGCCGGCGAAAGTGGACGTTGCATGTGAAGCGGTATTTGGAATCAACATAGTCTGCTGAGGTTTGGTGGAAAGAGGGATGGTTTCGAAGGGTCCTTCCCAACTTTCTTGATGCAAAGGACATTGGTCGGATACGGAGTGGACGGACTTCCCTGACATTGACAAGTACGGACTGAGCATCTCCCAGTCCGACAACTCCTGTTTGTGGCCAAAGATGGAGCCCATTGAACCCAATGATGCCATCACTTGCTTTTGGGGGACCCTCTAGCCGTCTAGCAGGATGACAAGTGGATTAGAATATACTGTGGCCCCTTTGGTGGGTGTATATTTTCAAGGCTCCTAGACGCTCCCACTTGAGCGGTATATTAAGACCGGAGGGTACTGAACTAAAGGCCGTCGCACATTCATGGTCTGCTTCAGAGAGGGGTGAGTGAGGAGTGAGTAAGTACTGGTAGCTTCAATCGTTTGAACCAACTCGGTGGCAGCAAGGCTGGTTTGATTTTAACACCATGTATCCGTAAAATGTGGCAACCATTGATTCTGTACAAGTATTTCCCTGAGGCTCTGCCCAAAAAAACTGGCGGTGTGACTCCATTGTTGAAGCTGCACGTTCGCGGAGAAGGCACACCCAAAGGACACATGTCCATGTCTTCGTTCTTTCGTTCTTTTTAGACCCGAACCATGCCTCCGAGCGACGCCAAAGAGACGTGGCGAGCTCCCCGAAGCCTTCAAGCCAAGCGTGTTTAGCTTATGAAAACGTTATGTGGCAACACTGACACCCAGTGAGTTGCTGTAGTACGCCAGAGTCGCCAGAGTGCAACCAATCCACCAGCATGGACCATGGCAATCAAACTGAATCTCTCGGTCTCCATGTGGGCACAGGGAGGGCCCAAGCGCCATCGGCTCACAGACATGACATCTGACATCATGCATCTATGTCTCTGCTGTGGTGAGGAAGTCTATCCTAGCATCATTTGCCCACAACAATATGAGTCTCCGCCCCGGCCACGCAACATCAGCACATGCTTGCTTTGCTTGCTTTGCTTGCTTCGTGATGTGTGTGATTCACCATCTCTTTAGCGTCTCATCACAGCCAAGCTCCAGAAGCCCTGAATGAAGGTGAAGCACCAAGGTGAAGGGCGGTTAGCGCTGAGCTGAGGTGGTCCTTCCAGGGCTTGGCTGACCACGCTTTGCGTGCGAAGCCTGCCGCTAGTCAAGGGGAGTGTATACATGTAAAACCCATGGTATGAAGACCCGGAAGCTCTTTATCTTGTGACTTCACCGCCGTCCTCGCGACAAAAATGGATTCGCCTCAACTCACAGGACGTGGACCTCATGGTGTGCACCGATCTGGTCGACCAGGTGCCTTTTTTAGAGTCCGGGTCCGCGTCCAAGGTCCAGAGATGAAAGTTGTGACATGGGTTTCATTTGGTTTCATCTGGTTTTAATCTTCATGAGGGGCTCAAGGGGCTCAAGTGCTTCATGTCCCAGTCCCGAAAGACTGCCAAACATGCCTCCAAACACCACAAACACCCGACCAGAACACTCCTGCGATGCTTCAGCATGCTCATCATGCTTGGTCGTTCCTGCGGGACGGCTGCCGCGGGACGGCTGCCCCCCGCGGTGAGGCTCAAACCTGCGTGCTGAACGGGAGCTTGTCGCACGCCTCCGTCCTGGAGGTGGCAGGGAAATCGCCACGAGATCGCCATTGGACCTGGAATTCAATCATTTCCCCATGATCTCCCTGGGCTGGGAACTTCATCCGAAACTCATGAAGGTTTCAGATGGTTTTGCCAAACAACCACACCTTCTATTGCTAGCCATAACTCTCACGACATGACGGGCGCCCTTCTTTCCACCTCTTTTTTGGGGATTCGGTTCTCGAAACCCATCGAACATCCCTGGTGTGTTCAAAAGAAAAACACCATTGGCCACTTCGGGTACCAGCTGTTCTCGCTACGCGACGGCCGGACGCCGGAGCGACGTCGGAGCGAAGGACGGAGCGGACGGAGCGGACGGAGCGGACGGAGCGGACGAAACCGGGAACCGACTTCGTGAAGATGGCACTACGTATAGTACTTGTAATATCTTGTAATCCTTGTTGTGCCGTTTTTTGTACTGGTATTTTTTCAAAGGGAAGGATCCAGGTGGACAAAAGTCTCCCAGATATTCCCCCTTAGAAACCTGTGTAGAAAATTATCAGGCTATCCATTGAGAGAGCCTGCTTCAGACAAGCATCCTGCAGCATCCAATAATTTTGGGCTTTCGGAAACCTTTGAGGCACAAGCATGCCTGCAAAAACATCTCAATCGTTTGGGGTGACGGGTACTTCTTTAGCAAGTTGATTCAATCTTTGTCCATTTGCTCGTTTCATCTTGTTTCTAATTCGGGAATCAGATGGGATCAGGCTCCCAAGAGAGTTGGTCACTTGACCGTAAAACCTGATTCTCATCCGAACGGATGGTCC